ACATAAGTCAGTAAATCTGGCCGATGTGAATCAGTAAAAAAAAAAAAAAAGGCCGCTGTCATGTTTCTCTGAGCTAATGTAATGATGATCCCTTCTGTTTATGTGGTGTCAATCAGACGACACGACACAGACATGTACGGGCGGAGAAGTCATATCTTTTGGACACATTTTACTGCCTGGAAAAACTTGAGCAAATAAAACTCTGATGTTCTCATGCCAGCGGCTTTGGCAAATTAAATTTATGTTGGATCGTGGATGACTATATAGTATTTACTTCAGCTCAACCTGCATAATTACTAAAACTTAACAGGTTTGCAGCTTTTTGAACAAAGCATTATTATATATTCAGCCTTGCAAAGTATCAATAAACACCATTTTCACTGAACTACTTTTCAATCATGTGATGACAAAATCAAAACATAATTAAAAATGGCTTACATTTCTAAATGTATGTGTTTTGTTACAAAAACCAATGCTTTAAATTTTTAGGACATCTTAAATATATTTTAAAAAACCACAACACATAAGTAGAATTGAATTGAACCACATCTTGGAATGAGCACTAATCCCAAATAGAAGGAGGAGATTAACAGATGGCTTTACTACAGTATAGGGAGGCCTATCTTAATGTCTTTTAATCAGAGCACTATGAGATGCTCAACTCATCTCGCAGCTACAGTCCACACAATGAGACAAGCTTAATCACATCAGGCTTACAGTCAGTGTAGTCGTGCTGTCAATAAACAGCACCCACAGCAATTCTATTCCCTCTCTAAAAGGAGACTTAAACTAATTCAGCATTCAGGCCAACTGACAGCCAGCTACTCCGAGAAGAAAAAAAAACTTCAGCCTATCCATGACAACATGGAAGTGATCTGTGGGATGAACATGGATCCTTTCTGCATCCACAGGGCTGGGTAGAGCCGTGGACTTCACCGTGGGTGGCCCCCATGGACCTGGGCTAATTGTTTCACATCACAGCAGAGCCAGGCTGAGATCAGACCACCGGCAGCTCTGATTCAGGCTGTTCGACAGCCAAACAGGGTATGCCAGGAAACACTTACAGTGCACACCCCACCCCACGCTCATGCACAGTCTTCATCCATCATACATGACCGCAAGAGAGTACGAGGAATTTCATTTTCTCCACGCTATTCGAGTGAGCCGTCAATCCGTTGGTCAGCTGGAGGTTGCAGTTCACTCAGTGATAATGAATTAAGACGTCAGCAGTCACAACCCTGTCTCACAAAAATCAGGTTCCTACTTCCTACTAACTTCGTTTTCAATTATGTTCTTTTTTATAACCAGTAAGGGTTTTTCTACTGGTATGGTAACGGAATAACACAGTACGAAACGTTTCCACTGTTAAGAGCTACAAAGCCCACGTTAGGAGAAGGAAGGGTGGTGCTGGCATAAGTCTGACACATGAATTTCACCCAGGAGGCTGCGCTAACTACATGTTTAGAAGCTTGGTTAAGGTTACGGACCTACTTGGTTTAGGATAAAATACACCCACATCCAACATGTTTAAAGCTTCTCCTCTATTTTCTGGGTTAACAGGGTTTCATATTTGACCCCATTTAAGATTTGTTGACTGCAGAGGAAGGACAGTTGGAAAGCAATAAATGGCAAAGATATGTTGATTAGAAACATTTTTTGCAGTATGTCACCAACAACATGTGATCCAGGAGAAGCTATGAGTCCCTCAGAGCGTGACTGATAATGCAGATAAGTTGTTAGGAACGTTCTTTCTGGGAAACTGGGATAGCAATCATGTCATGCAGTTGAAGAAAATGTCTTAGATAGTATAATAAACTTTGTGTTGTAGTAGCTGACTTCTGCAAGATGCAAGAAAGTATTTAGTTGCACAACTATCTATTGCACAAAGGGTAGATTAGTTCAAAATCAGAAGAAGGTAAACACTTTCTCTTAATCACTCTGTAACCTCAGATTAACGTTGCACCTTCTTGTCGGGTCATGAACTTCCATTTAAACATTTGTTCAACGTCCTTTAATTGTGCCACATAAACACACAAAGCTTAATGAACATATTGGCATGATGCCTTTATTTGCTTGGCTCAAGGTCGAGAGTGACAGGAAATCGCCAGGAGAGCGAGAGAAGGAGGACATGACGACAAATTTAAGGTCCAAACTGACAACATCGGGGTCACGTGGTTTGTGCTTCACGTCGCTCAGCGACCAGGACACCTCATGCTCCCTACTTCTAAGCAGAGCTGCTGCTGTGTGTTGGACATACAGACTCGCAAGTGGGTAAAGATAACAGGAAAACACATCAGCATGCGAGCACTTTGCGCGCATGCTGCTCCAGGACTATAGTTCCCAGATCTGTCACTAGCACAAGACCGGGTAATAACAAAATCCTCCCAGCGCACATAGGACTGTTAATCACCAGGCATCCCTCGCCTACTGCTTTTTCAAGGCCTGTTTGACTTAAAGTAAACATGTGCAGGAAATGTATTCAGTGGCTCTAAACATTTATATGGGGGCCTTGTGGTTCAAACAATTTCATGGCCAGCAAATCTTTCAAGAAGGTGCTTAGTGAGCCATTTGTTAAACACATGATAATAGGCCATGACAATGCATGGCAGGCTAGCATGCAGCAAGGCTGTATCATTGTTTGTTAAGCCTTTAGTTTCTGTACTCACTATCTGTATCGCTGACAGACAATGTAAGATGACTGCTGGATCCTGATCTGATGAAACCGAATGTCTGTACATTGTAATAGAGGGCTAATGTTTTGTAAGCTCTACTGTGTGACCTATTTCTGCGCTGAATGCATTTACTGATACAGGTACGAAGGGAAAGACCGAAAAACTGGTTGTGAATAAACAATCTCAAATATGAATATCCGAAAGCTTTCAGCGAGTTCATGCAAGCACTATGGAAAATCATTTTTTCCCAGTCGATAAACGAGCTCTCATCTCTTCCTTCCAATTTCTCCAATTTCATCTAAAAGAATATCCTTTGTTAATCTGGTCTCAATGAGCACCGTTGTTAAGTGCTGCTCACTCTGCACTCCCAGCCAGTCATAATCCATTGTGTTGTTTGCCCCTCGCTTGGTATACATTTCCACTGCAAATTCCAATGTGAACAGTCAATAACACACACAGATGTGGCCATTGTAGATGCTTTACTTTGTAATTCAGAAGAATGTAGCATGTTGAACTACTGCGGCACTCTGGGAAATATCTGGAACTTTTACTTCCCATTAGCCAGAGATGATAAAAGAAAAAACATATTTTAAGTATCAGGCAGCAAGAGTTATTCTACACTTTACTCATTTTGAATTAATTCAAGGACTATATCTCTGCAGGGTTAATGCTGGATGGATGCAGTGTACATGCATTAAGGGAGAATTCTGCAATGACTGCTGTTCTGCTTCACCCAATCATCATGAGTTGTGAAAAACATTAACCTCAGGGTTGTTATAAACATGTACGCCAGGACTTCATTTCCTCCTCACCATCTTGCTGCACTCATCAGTTTTATATAGAACACGCTACTCCAGAGTCAACATCAGTAAAAATGAAACAGTACATGATAATGATGTTCCCTGACCTCTTTTAGACAGTCAATATAATCCATGATGTTGTGTCTTGTCTCCCATCATGTTCCAGGGCTGCACCGTACCCAACAGCATTAAAAGTAAATACTTGGAAAGCACAGAGACAACCTGCGTTGTATATTAGCGCCACAAATCACGGAGAATCTCCTTTCCTGTTAACATCTTGATCAAGGCTTAATTAAAACAACTGCATGACATATAGCAGAAGCCATCCCGAGCTTAATTCCAGCGACGACAATAAATGGAATTACAGAACAATCATCGCGTTCCTTTTATGGCTTTGCTGGAAAAAAAATATTACAGTGTTTGTTTTTCCATCCAGCATCTCAAGCACATCTAGAAAAGGAACATCTGCAAGCTTTCGCCCTTTTGACATTATATTGAAACGCTGCTTGGGAAATAATTCATAGTCTAGATGCTGAACTCCCTCATGCCCAATGAAAGAAAATAACAAAATAAATCTCACATCTCACTGGCTGCTCCCTTAACAGATGCCATACAGGAAGTCAGTCCTATCAGCACTACCAGGCACACAGAAAGCACAGTCAAGTTTCCCCCCTATCCTGCCCACTTACTCTACGCTCTGTGCAATGCTCTGCTGTCACAGGACAACATGCACACTACATAGTCCTTTATTCTCCTCTTAAGATTCAAAATGAGCCTTGAAATGGTCATGTAGCTCTTTACTTAATACAGGATTACTCAGAAACAAACAAAAAAAAAAACCCTCTCTTGTTTAGCAACACTTTGAAAAACCCCGTGCAATGACAGGTAGCGTCCTCTTGAGAGTTTGTTAAGTCGTGCAACACAAAGGAAACCGACTTCTGTACTGCGAAATGAGATAACGGTGCATATTAAGTGGGTTAAACAAGCCACAGAATGCGTCTGCATCCCTCTGTTTGGATCAGCTGCACAGTAGAGATGTTGACATGGTTTACAGTAAATACAAAACATCCCCATGGCCCGATGACCCCAAAACCATTTCCTCAGCAAAGGACTGCTTTGCAAACAAGCATTCCTGTATCACACCATCTAACATCTCGGGGCCCATTTAAACAGCAACAACAGAAAGCTTGACTTTAATAATCACATCTCTTTTTTTTAACAGATATGTTTTGGTGTAGATTTGGCTGACAAACTGTGTGGAAACATCAATTACGTAAATAAAACTCTCAGCATATTCACATATTGCTCAAATGTCATGCACAAAACATGCTTGCAACTTGAGTTTTGTGGTACTATTTGGGCACAAGTCAGTGTTTTCCCTCCATCACAACTAGCAGCATCACCATCCTCATCACTGGTGGCACAAGCTTCATCATCACAGCCGTCATCATTACTGCTGGTAATTACCATTCATTACCACCAACTGATGACCCACACTCCCCCTCCCCACCAAAAACAAGAAACTCACCGCTATACGTGTGGAAATCTTCTGCTCGCCCTCTGATCCCTTCTGCTCCCCGTTGGCTCTGCTGTACTCTGGAGGTTGGTGGTTCGATCCCCGGCTGCCCTTTGCCTTGCGGTTCCCAGGCCCTTGGTGGACTATGTTGAGCAGGTGAAGGGTGCTCTCGTGCTCCCGGTCGGAGCTCTCGGCCTGACCCCTCTGGTAGCGGTTCTCGCAGGTGGAGTGGTGCCTCCTGCACAGCTCTATGCGGGCGCGCAAACGCTCCACGATGGCGTTGTGCAGCTGTGGCACCGCGGAGCCCCTGGAGGTGGCCACCACCGGCCCGTTTCCGACCCCACCGGGCATAGCTCCTAAACCGACGCCCAACATGGGTACGAATGTCCCTGCAGCGGATTGAGCGGGGGTCGCCTCTCCCATGCCCGCAGGTCCCCGATAACTTTACAGAGACTGAGGTCCACTGAGCTTATAATGGACCACAGACATGGAAGAAAACAAGCCGTGTGGACTCAGCTAGGATCCCATGTGGAAAAGAAGAAAAATACTGCTAAGTCACTTGAGAGAATGTGGTCTATGTTGAAATGTTGCACAATTATCTTGTCAGGAAATGATATAATGGCACAAAAGACTCAGGTAAGATAAGGTCTATACAAACTCATATTATCTTCCACATGGGCATTCAAAAAAAAGTCCCGAAGTTACAGAAATGCATTAGTTATTCCTCGAGGGTGTTAAGTATGTCAGCTTATAATTAAAAGTGTAATGATTTACAAACATGAAAAGGCTCATGGATTCACAGCTGGAATGAATCTGGTAACGAGTCGACCTCTGCGCACAGATAAATAGGCTATATTCAATATGAATCCCTTGGATGATTCAAAACCACAGCACGCACAACTTCAGTTTCGCCGACGGGTATCCCTGCTACATTTTCAGCTTACAAATCTCTAATGTGCCACACTTACTAAACACTCACAGTATGAGTAAGACTACCAACTACAAATGGAAAGTGGTCGCCAAAAACAGCAGAACCTACAAAACGCACGAAATCCACGAAACTTCAAGACTCACGACATTTTTTTTTTGGGTTTGTTAGGAAATTAGTCCTTTCTCCGATCTGTCTTTTCCCCTTCATCCGGATCAGAAGGATTCTGGTTGGAAATAACAAGTCAAAAAACCAGGCAGCCGAGACGCAGGAAGCCGTTGCAGAAAGCGATTGAGATCCGTCTCAAATAGTCCATTGACAATCGTTTGTCCGTGTGGTACACCGAGGCAATAGCGGAGCTGCTCTACACAGACCCTCATTGTATGAACATTCCTCTTTTGACATGATGCACTCAGACGGATGCAGCGGAGTCCAAACGCACACTCTAGTGGAGTGAAGGAGGAACTGTCCTGGAGAAGCCTGGACCGAGACAGGAGGGGGGAAGAAGCTCATAAATGTTTGCTAAACTTGCAGAGACACGAGAGAGTGATGTGGTTTAACAGCTCTAAGATCTCCTAATATCATTAGTTGTGGCGATGTGCCGCACTTTTACTACAGACGACGCGTAAAAGGGTTCTTGTACTTTGCGCGTGTGATTTCACGCGTAAAAGAATAACATCATGACCAGATCATAGCTCACGATCCAAAATTAACTTGTGACACTGAATTTCCTTTAATACTTTGTCTACTGGGTGTTAACAGGCTACTAAATTAAATACAGATCTAATTAATTTCAGTAGAAAAGATGGAAAATGAACAAAAAACTTAACTAAAAGAGAAAAAACGAATAAAACTGCATTTACAGGTTATGCCAAGTTACAATAAGACCTGATGTATGTTAAGTCAGGTGCCAGATAGTCTATGACTTCCATCACCACCCGGTCCAACAACTCAATTTACACATATTTAAATACTCTTACTCATCCTGTCTTCTACAATCGAGGCACACACGGCACACTTACATATGCATAGAATGACCGTAACCTCCAGCACACACAGGCTACTGCTATCTTTTCATCTAAGTGTTTTGGGTGAACTAGCAGTCAAACCAGCCATTTTACCTGTCAACCAGCCAAAGCACCTGATTGGCTCAACCACACATCACGTGCTGCTGTAGGTGTTGCCCAAATAAGGGTTGGGTTGTTGTGTCTGCAATTTAAGGAGCTTTGAGCCTTCTTAGCGCCTTGTTTGTTTAAATGTATAGCCTACCTGTCAAATACACAACTTGGCTGCACTCTCATAGAGTAAATTAGCACCTTTGGGTGGCGAAAACTAGGTTAATTTAGCTGCCTGAATTCTACCCCCTCCCAAGGTGAGTCACTGTAACAGACATACTTTTATTCATTCATCACCTGCTAATCAAAGGTGATGATCATAGTGACTGTAGACTTAACCACCACCTGACCTGAGCTTCAAAAGGTTTTACAGTCACTGAATCATATAGAGACTCACAGAGAAAAGACAGGTTTTTGTAACACAAGAGGAAAATTAACACAAAGAAAAACCACACAAATGTGAGGAGAATGTGCTTGGTCAATTTAAAGAGATCAGTCCTGTGGAACTCTGACTTAAATTGCTGCCCTTTAAAAAAGTAATTAAAATGTCCTTCGGTTGTTGAAAGTTCAGCATCCTGCTCGGCTCTGGCCTTCTTTGGCAAGAGAAGAAAGACCGGCCACCTCCGCATGTCTTTTAGCACACTCTCAACAATGTCGCCGCTTTACAAAAATTCTTTAAGGAGCCCTACACATGACCTTTGGAAAATGTCCTTATGCGTTGTGAGAAACCCCTAATGAGAGGGAGTTCATAATTTTCAGAATTCTGTAGACCAGCGTTGCTGTTTTTAATGGAGAAAGCAGGTGGTGTGGTAAAAGAAAGTGGTCAAAGAAAAGACGCTCTTGATTCATTGAACAGTGTATTTGTTTAGCTGTCTCTCTGAGTCACATCAGCTAATCTGTCACGGGGGTCTTGGTTGACCAAAACACGTCTAGCCGATTAGTCATTTTAATTCCCTTTATGAGAAATGGCATCATGTCCATTGGTCATTACTGGAAAGTGATAGTCATATTTAGAAGCACAATGACATTCGTTTATTAAATAAGTAGTGGCCTTTAGAATATCCTGGAGAAAAACATTCTTATTTTATTTATATGCCAGAATATCATATAATATGTGAAGCTACTGATTCTTAAATGTTTTGGTATTAAAAGAAATTTTACATTACTAGTAGCTATTTTATACTGCACTATATAACAACAGATATGTATGTCAGTTTTAAAAACCCTATGGGCTTGTCATTTAACACTTTAAAAATGCAAACAGATGCAGCTGCTGCTTTACACAACAGGGGGCAGCAGACATCAAACTTCTGTACATTATGTGGTGGAAACACTAAGACGTTTTACTCAAATAGAAAAGAAAATACATTTCAATGGATGTATTCAAAATATTACCTAATTAAAAATAGTTTGTTTATTTATTTAAATTTATGCAAATATATAGCTAAAGTGGCTGCAAGGTGGCGCAGTTGGTAGCACTGTTGCCTCGCAGCAAGAAGGTGGTTCGCATCCTGGTGGGGGCATTGGGATCTTTCTGCGTGGAGTTTGCATGTTCTTCCCGTGCAGCGTGGGTTCTCTCCGGGTTCTCCGGCTTCCTCCCACACAGTCCAAAAACATGTTGAGGTTAATTGGTGATTCTAAATTGTCTGTAGGTGTGAATGTGAGTGTGCTTGGTTGTCTGTCTCTAAGTGTAGCCCTGTGATAGACTGGTTACCTGTCCAGGTGAACCTGCCTTCACCCTGAGTCAGCTGGGATAGACTCCAGCCCCCCTACAACCGTAGTGAGGATTAAGCGGTGTATAGATAATGGATGGACGGATATAGCTAAAGTATGATTAATCAAAAATCTGATTGTTATGTAAAATGTCCCCATATAGCGTGAACCTGAAGCCAAATTTAGGAACTATATTAATATTATTAACAAACTTGCTTTGCATGTAAAACCTTGATGGGAAAAGTAACCGGTATATTCTATAGCAGTCAGGTAAATGCAGTAGAGTAAAAAAGTGCAATATTACCATCTTAAATTAAGTGGAGTTGAAGTATACAGTACCATAACCTCTTAAGACCTGGTGTCCACATGCGTGCACATCATATTTTGGGTTATATTACCACAGTAGATATTATTATTATTATTTTTAAATACTTTATTATTATTATTATTATTATTATTATTATAAGTATTAGTAGTAATAGCAGTAGTAGGATTAACATTATTGTGATTATTATTATTTCATTGTTTATTTATTTACTTTTATTTTTTATTTTTAGATTTTTTAAATTTTTTAAAAAATACATTTTTTATACATTCTCAATACATTCTTCATTTTTAATTATTTTTTATACTCTTTGCTGTATCAAACATATCTCAAACAAGAGCTCGGGTCTTAAGAGGTTAAATAGAAATACTCAAGTACAGTACAAATATCAGTTCTCGAGTAGATGTGCTTTCCGTGAGTGCATCAGTTAAGAATGTGTGGTTAACAGATCACTAATCTTACTGGTTTGAATTTAAAGAGGAACGTTAACACAAAACTTTTCACTTCTTGATTTATTCTATGTCCACAGTTTAAGTCTACCATAATACAGGAATAACAAAGTCTTGTATTCTCATGTATCCCAAATTAACTGTACCACATTACCGTCACACTGTCATCGTTTCTCATATTGCTTCAAAAAAAAAAAAAAAAAAAATCAAGACAGTTTGCATACATCAATGTTAGTAGAGAGAAGGTTTCCTTGTTTGGTTGTTGTTGTTTTTTTTTTCTCTTTTTTTTTTTTTACAATTATCAACTGCAAAACACACAATAAATTAATAAATTAACACACAAGCAATCTGCAAATGCTTTACAGTAGTAGCAATAACAGTGGTTAAAAAAAAATGATCTCTACAAGTACAGTACGTCAACCCAGTGACAGTCTGACAGTAGATCTGAGCAGTGTTTTCCATCTCGCCCAGTCAGGCTGTCATTTAACATACTACAACTCACAATCTACCACAACACATACACGGCTCTTCTGCTTACAGCGGGTCTCTCTAGATAATAAATTACACATCCATTTCACTTCAGAGACTGACAAGGAGACAGGCTTTTCTTCAGTCTTTTCTTTCCTCTCATGCTCTTTGTGAATCACAGTTCACCCGGTTCAATTTTTTTTTTTTTTTTGCCAGTGCAGCTTAAACCGCCAGCCATCCCATTTCATGAGTAGATCGGAAAAAAATTCAATTCGGGGATTTGAAAAGGAATAAAATACACACTGTAACAAACCTAGCTTAATTTAGCCTGATCCTGTCCTTAATGCATTAACACTTGCTTACACGTATCAGTAAAAAATAATGATTAAAAAGAATACAAAAAGCTGTAAAAATGGTAGAAAAACATTAAGAAGTAAATCTTAGTGAAATAATCAATAATACCATCTCGCACTGCATGGCCGCGTCATTCTTATTAAGATCAAATAGGGATTCACCCCTCAGTGGTTCCAGCCCACAATGAAATACTGGACTTAAGCTGAACTAGAAACTGATCATTCAGTTGCCCTAAATACAATATGGTCCTTTCTCGAGTAAGATTGTGAATAATTAAATTTCTCCAAGGCAAAAATGTACAGTCGAAACTGAAATGAAAATTTAAGGCAAATTAAACAAAAAAAAAAAGAGTTTAGGAAAAATTTAGTAAACATTCTTTCCTCAACTATTTTCAAGTGACTACGATCACTGGCAAATCTTCATCGTGGCAGGTTGCCTTTGCAAGAAAAGCACAATGTTACATGACTATAGTGCACTCTTTGTCTCAGACAAGTGCATCGAATTTCTACCAGTCAACAAGATGCACTGCAAATATGTCATTCTATTAATAATTTACATACAGGAAACAATTATTCTTCAGAGACGTAGATGTAGTGTGTGGCATATCAAAGCCCAAAGACATAAATCGGTGAATTGTTGGGTTCTGGAAAACATAAATACGCTATTCTCCATCCTACAAGGCTTGTGTTTGTGGTCTCTGGAGAGAGACAGGAGCACTTGGAAACTACACCTCCTCCTTTATTTTCGGTTCCTGTAACTCAGTAATTTTCTTGGTCAGTGCACATTTACAATGAAATGTATTAGAATATTACCTGAAGACAGTTGACCACTGAAGTCAAACCTTTAAGCACGTAAGATGTCTCTTCATCTTGTCTGTCTTATTTTCTTCACTCTGTAC